TCAAGGCTTCTAATAATCTTAAAATTTGTCCTTGACAATCTCTACACAACATTTTAAAATTATTATTGATGTCAATTCTATGCCTCGTTTTAATTATATATTTACTTTACCCTTAAAATAACACTGAAGCCTTTTTAAAATAATCAAAGGATATTTCTATGTTAAAATAAAGATCACACAAATTTATATCCTTTTTTTATTCTAAAATTCTGTATACTTCATTGATTTTTCTATTTTCTGATTTTTACATTTCAAAAAAGAATGGTGAGTATAAAAATAAACTAATCATAGCAACAAAGGATTAAAAGGGTAATATTTGTCAACATAGATTAAATATGTAAAGACAGAGTTATGTCGACTAACCTTCACAAATATTGATGATAATCTATTATAGTCATTTTAACAAACATATTGATAATATTACAGAAGAAATTCTTTATTTTCGAGTGTATAATAAGTTTAATTGTATATAATTATAAGTAAAGTGACAATTGAAATTTAATGAACACACTTTTAAGTAGTATCTACTGAATATTAATGTTTTATTCAAATACGATGTAATAATCACAATTGATTGATCACTACCCAGTGATCAATCAATAGTGATTACATCTCAGTCCTACAGGAGGTCAGTCGCGGCACGGATAGATCAGTGGTAACGTCTCTGACTGTGAAGCTGGGTGACACGGGACCAAATCAGCCATGTAGCACCAGTTCCCTCAAGATTGCAGGTACACCTTGCTGACGAGTGCCAAGTAGCACGAAACTCGGGTCCAGGGTTTCCTGTTGTTAACCTCCAATCACCATCCAATCTCACGATGTAATAATCTTTAAATCTACCGATGATACTCACTCGTTCATTGTCATATATATATATATATACTTCTTAAACAAAGATGAAATTAAGAATGGATTTTGTCATAGACTATTTAAGTTTACATTCACAAATCATTTTTCTTTAAATGGGTAGTTAGATAGAATAATTTAAGTGAGAACAATTTCTACATTTAATAAATAAGCCAACAATTTGATCAAATTAGAAATTCAACCATGAATTTATTCAAAAAAAAGCGGTAACCGTTGTTTAAATTTGATCGAATAATTTCACAATATTTGGGTGCCAAGTTGATATGAGACATAAAAGAAGAAGAATGTATTTGTAAAATCTCAGCAAATAAATTTGAAGGTAACGGATAACTAAAAAATTTTGTGCAACTACATAATCATTGTTTTAATGGAACAACATTAACATAAAACCTATAGCTGACTATGTATAATGTATGGCTTTTCATAGTTCACAATCATCTTTTGAACAAAACTACTAATAATAGTAGTAGTAATAATAGGGAATACATTTAGAAATAATGCAAACACAGACGATTTCATTTTTAAAAGAAACGATTAGCGAATCAAGAGAATTCTGGAAAGGTTGGGTAATATATACATTTTTCTTCAAAATAATTCCTTTATATTCTGTTATTAGTCAAAAAACAATAAAAATATATTACAAGCTGATAAGATGATTTAATGTGATTGATAAACGTTGTAAATTCAATAACTTTCATTAAACTATAACGTTTCCGATTTCATTAGATAGTAGATTGATGTCTACTGATTTGAAATTCAAACCTACATTTAGACCAGTTAGCAATTAATAAACAATTTCTTGGGATTGAATAAGATCCGCCTATATATCATGCATAAAAATGTTTAAAAACTCTGTTTTAGTGTACTTTCTCTCCGTCGGAAACTGATATCATAGTGATTTTACGGTCATTATACTGAGCTATGCCATACTGCCTATTTTATGTACCAGTTGTATACATTTCTACGATTCTGAACCGGTAAATATTGTAAATTTGGTTCAGTGTTTATTATGTTGTATAACAACTCTAATCTGCTTTTTATTTGCTTTTGAAAGTGAAAATTACTGCTTGGCTGAATTAGGTGGAATATTTTAGGTAACTCAGAAAAAAATGGTAAACATTGAATTTATTTAATCCCTAATCTGCTGCCCTGAATTTACTTATTCATGTCAATTTTCTTAAAATAATTCCCAGCTAGAATATTTTAACTACTAGTTATGTTGTTTCTACTCTATGTGCTATTGACATCACTATGTGAATATTATTTAGTCTCATCTTCAAAACTAAATAATGATACTATAAGCATGTTTAACAATAAAAAAATTAATGTCAGCACTCACTAGAACTCCAATTAAATACTAAATTATAGACAAGACAAACTTCGATGGCCATCGAGGTATCATGCCAACGACACAGAGAACAAAAAAGAAACTAATCATGATCTCAAAATTCACATGATAAACTTGTATTGAATTCACTATGTAATTTATAATTCCAAACAAAATATGAATTCAAAAATTGTTGGATTATTTCGTTAAACTTTATTGTTTTATTGAAATAACAATTTTCAGTTGTACGAAACTAGTTAGGTCAAGAAAAATTACGCTTGAATAATCTTCAAATAGTATCTTAGCGAATAGTGATTAAAAAAAACTCCGATTAGTTTAGGAATATAAAGAATTTCCAAATAATTATTAATATATATTTTACATATTTAACTGTTGACCTATTTCATTACTATTCAACAATATCTTCCCAAAGTTTATTTCATTCATTATACATTCTTAAAATGGGGAAAAAACTTTCATAGTTGACTTCATACCTATTGTTAAGTATCTCAAAAGTCAAAAAAACATGACCGTGTTTGATATTATTATACTTCCATAAATAAACTGAATTCAAATCTTCTTGTTGGTTATTATACAGTATCCTTTTATGTTCTATTGAACTATCAGATTGAAAATACCCGCTATTAATTTGTAAATTATATATCTTTGTATTGAAGAATATTGGGAACAGTTTCCCAACCAGTTTTTTTTAATTTCATAAAGCAGGTAGAGTTAAACTATAATTTCCCTATTTCTGATCACATTCAAAACAATGTCCTTTAATCTTCGTCAAGGCGTTTTTTCTCTAGTTATTATAAACGATAAACATTTGAACTGCTTTTACCAAGTAACTAGTTACGTTAGGATCTATCGATTTCGAAAATAAAATATTAATATTCTTAAACTCATATGATTATTATTGTTACCACAGAGTATGAAAGGTTCCTAGAGAGATTCCCTTTAGAAGAACTACGTACTGAATAAATGGATATTGTTGAATTTTTACATTATACTCCAAAATGATTAAATATTATATCAGTACATTGTAAATTGAATAAAATGTGCTTGTTGGAGAGAATGAAAAAAATACAGTTATACTATGATAGAAAGAGTAAATAAAAAAGCTATTTGTATTAATGCAAAATCCATAGTTGATTTTTGTCTAAATTCTTGTTATTCTGTATATATTTGTTTACTCTGAAGAAGTCGGTTACATTAGGTCATGAAACATCAAAAGCACAATTCTTCCATCCATTGAGATAGGACAAAAAAATTACATTTCTTATTATCCTGTGTATGTTGTTAAGAAGGAAAGCTATTTAAATTTTAATTAATTCTTAACATGTATATTTACTAAGGTTTCATTGAATATATAACGCTACTTACAAATTTCAGCAAATTATGTCAGTGTTGCGTTTACATCACTTTAACACACTTGATATCTGCCATTTAAGAGAAATATATAATTTTCTAATTGTGGGAGATGAACAGAAAATAGGAATTTGAAATGTTCATTAAGAAAACATTAAATATAAGCACAAACCATTTTAAAAAGATTTATTTCTATCAATATTCAATTAATTTGCATTATTGACAATACTTTGATTCACTTTTCTCCATCCAAAATCATTTACAGTTACCACTTTCTGTATTGCTTATTAATATATATGACGAAAGATACGTATTGTGCACTGACAAACTGTCATCATAAGTCTACAGAAGCTAAACGCATCTTACATACTTAAAAGCAAAAGTTTTTTATAATTTCTGAGTAGTTTTGCATTTCATATAAGCAATTAGTTAACAAAAAAACTTTTTAAAGTGAGGCTTGATAAACTTAATAAATATAACAGTTGAATTCACAAGTCAATGAAAACTAAACCATAATGGAAAATGTGGAAGCAGTGGACGGCCATTTCATCCAATTATGAGACTACTCAGCAGTGCGCATACACAATCCCGCTCGTGAGCTTCGAACCCAGGACCTGTTAGTCTCACACGCAAACGCTTAACCTGTACACCACTGAGTTGACATCTCACACTATTAATGTCTAACTTAAACCAATTCACGAAATTGTGCCACTGCCCATCATTATTTTCAATGAATTCCTATTTATATTATTAAATATAATCATATTTTGTTATAACTTGAGATCACTTATTGCTAATCATACTTTTCAGAGTTTTACAGAATACAATTAAACTAACACATGAACAAATACGCTGGACACATGAATTTCAATTCAAACTAATAATGAATAGTAGACCTATGCAAACCAACTAATAAAGATCAATAGTTCAATGAGTCCGTACCACAAATTCGGATACTAATACCAAATCAATATTACATATGTCATATTTTATACCTTAATTGAATCTAAACAGTCAACAGTAAATTCACAATAAAATCTTTACAACAAATAAATAATCTCAGGCTTTTTTCTCCTAAAACAAAAAACAACATTATTTGATATGATTTTCTTCATTATGATCGAATTTCAAATGATTTGTTATCTGAAATTATTGATTAATTATCAGACCAGTAAGCTTAACTTAATATCCTGTTGGGGTATCCATATTTTATTACCATCAATATGAAAACATTTTCGTTTTCAATAACCATTTCACTAGTAATTACATGAATATAATTATTGATAATGTAATCTATAAATACTACTTAATATTGACAAAATATATACATTTATTACATAAACCATAATTAAGATAATGAGAACTGATATACAATATCATTAACATATTAAATAACATATCATTAGAAGAAGAAAAAAAAAGAACAAACGCTTACTCCTAATAAAAACAAAGAATATATCATAACATCAATATTATTCATTTTATATTTACATGACAACAATCAAATAAACAAATAAATATTTTCTATTTATCAAAATCCTACATTTCAACCAATCACTATTTAGAAAAATAAAATAGAAATTAACCAATCAGAAAATATGTATTTTTTTGTTGTTATTTTTATGATCATAACAAACAACATTTATTTATGATTTGATTTTGAACATTGACATGGAATAAATAAGGGACTCCTTTGTGTTTAACATACAGTATATATATATATATATATATATATATATATATATATATATATATATATAAAACAAACATTGAAATAGTATAATTTATAGAAAAACAACTGATAAAGATATCACATCATTAGAATAAAAGCTTTGTCAGAAAGGTATTAACATGAATGAGTTTTGTTTAATAAAGACTATTTAATTGTGAATGTAAAGCATATACAGGAAAATAAATACTGAGATTGTTAATGTGTTTGGTTTAGACAGACAAATGATTTCGAACCTATGAATTATTAGTATTTGATTGTCAATTATAATGTAATGAAACTGTCATTCCTGTAGTGCGATTAATCTAGTTTTTAATGGTACATTTGAATTGAATGTAATAAATAAAAAGGCATAAATTAACAACTATGGATAGGACAGTTATGATTGCCAAAGTGGTATGTTAAAATAAACCTTGAACTATGTGCCACAGAGCATTTCTTTTGATATTCTGAGATGCTGTACAAAAACCTCACGCATGTAAAATGTTATGCACTCATCAGAAACCAGCAATATTGACTGAACAGCCTCCAAGCGAACATAAATTGTGAGATCTGTACTTTTTAGAGAACCCAGATTTAAACTACCACATGAGATTTGATTCACATAGAAGCTATCATGCAAATGAAAATCGTCCAAGCGACTGTGAATTAAGTATAAACACTGTGATTTCTTCTCACCCTGAGAAAACCAATAACTTGATTGATAAACATCTATAAAAACTTTACTGTCAGTGTTTGATATCAGCTTGATAATGATTGAAGATCATAGAGCGTTAAATGTGTTTTATTCTGGTTTGAATATTTTTATCAATGCGCACCTGCGACTAAAGATAGGTAGTTTAACCCACAACGTTGACATTGTATTCTTGAAATAATATTACCAACTTGCTAAGTCGGGAAACAACGCTTAACGTTTTTATGACTAAGTAGCGAACAATGTATGGGGCGTGCTATTATCAAATATATATATATATATATAATCTATTGTCTTGGATGGTCTTCAATGATTCACTGAATCTTTATACATGGTCTAAACCTGAATTCGCCTTACAAACACTTAAAATGCCTTAGGTAATTTCAAAAAGCACTTAAATACAATCAGTTACACTTAAAATTTAAAGCATTTAAATAAATTGGGGAACTATTGACAGTTCAGCACAGATTTTTATCAGTGAGTTCCCGAATACTCTGTCATATGCACTTATATCCTGCTATTTTGTAGTGCTAACTAAAAGTGGCTGTTTAATTTTGAGCAAATGAGAAATGGGTCATACCATCGTACTCATCGACATTTATCTTTAGACAGATTAACTAAAAAAAGATAAGTATAATTTATTTATTCAAATATCTGATAATTAATAAATTCTTATTTTCCTATCTTTTTCTGATTTTACTTTGAGATGACGAAGCACTAAAGCTTAATCCAAGTTTGTAAATGTTGTGTACAATATTTTCATTCTCCACCGTTTCCGAAAAATATCTTTTTATATATTTGAATAGCCAATTTTTATAGATCTCGTCTATGATGTCAACTTATCTTAGAAGTTTAATATATTGATCCTTCAAATAAATAATTGACAAGAAAACATCCAGAACTTACTAACAGTGAAAAACGTATTAGCAGTTTACCATATTTTACCAACTCCATTTCTTTTATGATAATCTGTATGATCATTGATGTAAGTAACTACATCTTCTAGAACTTGACTATGTGTTTTTCACTTTAACATATAAAAAGGTATGAAAGAAAAAGAAACAGATATAGCATGAAAAAGAGAAACAATATATTCCCTAAATATAAACCCATTATATTAATTAGGTCTAATAATAAAATTTCCTGTCAAACTGTCATTTTATGCTTTTACATTACTCACAGTATAAATAACAAATTTCTTATGTCATACTTGGTTAACTATAAATTTTAACTTAATTATATAATTCACCTCATTAATATAGTGGTATACATTGAAGAGCAGATAATTAAAATAATAAATCCCTTCTATAAATAACATTAATTATACCCGATTTTAAACATAACCTTTACCTTCTTACGAAATGTAATTTACCCTATGAATACATTCTTTATTTTTTTAATTAAACAAAAGATTCATTTAAAGATATTACGTCAATGAAAGCAAAAGATTTTCTTGTTTTTAAACGGGAGTTTGTCATAGTAACAAAAAAGCACTTTAATTTGACTTTTTTTCTGCATGAAACCAGGAGATACCAAAATGAAAATCAATATTTTAATGGTACAAAATAAAATGACAGTTATCATTATCTATAATATGATCTGTGATGTATTTAAATCTTTGATTACATATAATAAAAATTAATATAATCAGGTTATTAACAGATAAATAGATCACTTGTATACATTCTTTGAATAAATAATTTTATAGAATAGTTTTCTAAGGTATCAGTAACCAATATAATAAGTTAATAAATAGAATATGGTTAGAATTGATTTCATGGATGAGAATGAGGTAAGATTTTACAATAAAGTTCAATACTTCAATGAATAAAAGTGAAACTGAATCTTTGAGATTCTGCATATAGTTCTGATTTATAATTTTAACATATATATATATATATATATATATATATATATATATGTCAAGTTTGACATTAACTTCATTATTTATCATTGATCAGTTTAAGGAAAGAAGAAGCTATATACAAAAATCAAATTGAAAATAAGATTAGCCACTGCAATTTGAGCAATTCCGCAGCTTCATCTAGTAGTGTGATCCGAGACTGTTCAGGTGAATAATCTAAATTATCAAAGATAAATACGATTTAAAACAAGTTTTCACTAAAAGCTTATCTGGTTAATATCAGATATTGATTTTGTGTATATTAATAATAATAACCTGTTGATTAATGAAATCTTAAACTTTCAAATATATATATCCAGAAAGGAATTACTGTCATCTTAGTATTAAATCTGTATTGAATCTCCATGAATCTATCAATTCATAAAGTGAAAGGATACTTTTGACAATTTCATGTACAAAACTTTATGTATGTCTCTTTACGTGAATCAAGAAATAAATTATATGTTTTAATTCATTTTGTATTGCTTAATTGAATCTTCCCATTGATATTTAGGACTGCAGTTAACCAGTCTGTTATTGTCATATGTGCATCCTGTGAGGACTGCCTCGATATGGTATCAAGTCACAAGCATTATAAATAAAAATGGCTAGTAGTAGAACCTAGAATCCGGCTGACGAATCCCAAATAAGACGAAACGTGCAACCTGGATTTCCACTGCTAGTCACTATCCATTTTTTCTTAAAACTATGGTTTTTTTAATATAAGTAGCACAATTTTTTTTAAAAAAGAAATCGTCAGAGAGAAATCTTTTTTTCTTTATTAGTTATTTTATAAATTTATTGGTATATTTAAATTAAATTACTAATTCATTTCTCAATAAATTTATGATTTTCATATTTTGTTTTCATGTTCCATTTTTCGGAAAAAACATTTATTCACTTTATTTTATTACATCATGCAACTTTTTAAGTTGATATTATATTATTTTGAAAACAGTAATTACAGATACTGGTGAATTTAATAAATACGAAGATCAGAGAGGGATTTTGTTGACAGTATAGTAATTGAATAGTTGAATTCATGAGTCAATTGGAGCTAGATCACCATGGAAAACATGGAAGTACTGAATGGCCGTGTCGTCTTATTGTGGGACTCCTCAGTAGTGTGTATCCACTATCTCGCCCGGCTAGATTTAAACCCAGGACCCATCGGTCCATCCGATGGCGTTTAATTTCAATCAATCCACAAAGTTGAGCCACCGTCCAGCATTTGCTTTTCATGCTGGTCTAGCTTCAATGGACTCGTGAATTCACCTATTCAATTAAATACAAAGATGATCTCCAAGCATATCAATATCTGTAATACATTTAATTTTAAAACATTATTAGGTTGTAAGCAACTCGTGAGAACCTAGAGAAATAAAATGAATTCATATTATTCTGTACTAATCTTACTGTTTTTAAGATAATAAAAGGGGTTATGTGTGTAAATAAGAACTTTCGTCTAAATTTGATCGAATAGTTTCACAGTATTCGATCGGTGAATATAAAGAAAACATATAATTTTTATATATGATATGAATCAAAAATATCACAGCATGAATTAAGTGAAGATAAATGAACAAGATAAAAGAATGAATTCAACGAGGAAGAACGTATTTGTAATTGAAAGTTTGTGTTATTTTAATGTCCCAGTCAATTATTTAACATATCCAGGTAACTGATTAGAACTGTTGAATATAATTACTGTTATTCAAATAACACAAAACAGATAAACTGGAATAAAGATTTCAGGTTTACTTATTAATTATTAGTTCCCATAGGACAGCTAGTTATATTCCATTTCTTTTATGAATACTGTTTGGATTTGCCCATATATGTAAGGCTTCGACTGTTAGTTTCTCTTTGTAAGAATTATAACCTTTTCGAGGGATTATTGTGCCATTGAAATCAATTGTATGATCCGATTCTATCGAGTATAATTCTATCATTGATTTGTTCTCGAGTTTTCTTACATCAATTGAAGATTTAGGAATGTACTTTAAGCATAATTTGTGTGTATGATATATTATATTACCCTGATATTTAAAAAAAACAATAGGGACCTATTCATCTACTATTTAAAATAGGTAACATTGTTTTTCTCTATTTTTAACTTCAAAATAATTATTTTTGAATGTTATGTAATTGT